CTTATTGCTTGGAAGCAATACGGTTGTTCTCTTATGACTGACGGGTGGATGAATAAAAGAGGACGGCATTTGATTAATTTTCTCGTCAATAGCCCAGAAGGTATATTTTTTTTAGAGTCAATTGATGCATCAAGTCAGACTCAAGTTGCATCATTACTGACGGATTTAATTCAAACAAAAATTGAAGAAATTGGCAAAGAATATGTGGTTCAGGTAGTAACCAACAATGATGCTAATTTTAATGCAGCAGATAAATTATTGGAGCAGATACAGCTCATTGTCTTGATCTTATGTTAGAAGACATTGGGAAATTGTCTGTCTCCCAAGCAAATATCAACAATGCAAGAAGAGTTACTACCTACGTCTATAAGCATGTAAGGCTCTAACGCGATGCGAAAGAAAAACATATGATAGAGATCTTGTGAGGCCTACACCTACCTGGTTTGCTACTTCATTTTTTACTTTACAAAGCTTATATAAGCATAAGGATGCTTTGAGGAGCTTGTTTTCAACGAAGATTGGACTACTCCAAAATTGGTACAAATGCCAGGAGATTAGTAACAAACACGATATTGTCTTCTCCCTTTTGGACTGGCATGGAGTACTGTATAAATATATCGCATCCACTTCTAATTATTTTGCGAATCATTGACGGGGATGAGAAGCCAGCAATGCCGGAGCTTGTTGTAGCGATGAACGAAGCTAAAATAAAAATCAAATTAGATTTCTGAGAAAAAACAAATTTTTTTAAAGAAGTTATGCATATTTTCGATAGCTAATGGGATAATCAAATGGAAGTCGAGTTGCATGATGCTGCATTTCTTAATCCTTTCAAGTACTTGGTGTATTCAATCTAGACTATGTAGGATTTTATTGGACTTTCAAAATCTGAAGTTTTTTAAAATGTGAAGATATTCAATCCAGACTTTTACTTTTAAAATCTCGAGGGATTAAACAATCCGATTTTAATGAATTTTAATGGAAATTATGAAAATTTTGTATGAGATAGAATCTCTCCTGATCAGCAGAGATTTTGATGGATTTTTAAAATTATTATTATTATTATTATTATTGTTGTTGTTGTTGTTGATGTTGTTAATGTAATAAATAATATAATAATATTTATTAATATTATTATAATTTTTAATAAAAATAATAATTTAAAAATAAAATATATTAGCTTAGCAAAAAAATATATAATTTTGTATTATAAATATAATTTTAAAAATTATTATTGTCATTTCGGTGTAATTCTTCTTTTTCAATTATCGAATACACTATATTATCATTTCGGTGTGAAATAGATATTTAAATATATATTTTTTTTGTTGAATCATTAATTTATATTTATTTATTTATTTAATATGTTTTCAAAAATTGTAAAAAATATTTTTTATTTTATTTATATATGTATTAATTTTTTATCTAAAAAATTTATAAAAATAATCATACTAATAATAATAACTAATAAAGAAATATAAAACTAATTTGATATATTGAATGATAATATAATACTAAAATTATAAAATTAAAATTAATAATCTACAATATAATAGTGTTACGGATGTACAATATTTCTACATTATTAATAATTATATATTATTTATTAATATTAAATTTTATTATATTAATAATTATATATTATATTTATAAAATTTGTGTTGGATATAAATTTATCTCAAAGTTTTGAGATAATGATTGAGTCGGCGGGTTCGAGTTTCTCTTTTGGAGAAAACGGTGAAAAAGACACAAACGCTGAAGAAAAAACATGTAATTGCTTGGAAGCAATACGGTTGTTCTCTTATGACTGACGGGTGGACAGATAAAAGATGGCAGCATTTGATTAATTTTCTCGTCAATAGCCCAGAAGGTAAATTTTTTTTTAGAGTCAATTGATGCATCAAGTCAGACTCAAGTTGCATCGTTACTGACGGAATTACTTCAAACAAAAATTGAAGAAATTGGCAAAGAATACGTGGTTCAGGTACTAACCCAACAATGGTGCTAATTTTAATGCAGCGGGTAAATTATTGGTGCAGATATAGCTCATTGTCTTGATTTTATGTTACAAGACATCAGAAAATTGTCTGTCTTCCAAGCAAATATCAACAATGCAAGAAGAGTTACTACCTACGTCTTTAAGCATGTAAGGCTCTAACGCGATGCGAAAGAAAAACATATGACACAGATCTTGTGAGGCTTACACCTAACTGGTTTGCTATTTCATTTTTTACTTTACAGAGCTTGTATAAGCATAAGGATGCTTTGAGGAGCTTGTTTTTAACGAAGATTGGACTACTTCGAAATTGGTACAAATGCCAGGAAATTAGTAACAAACACGATATTGTCTTCTCCCTTTTGGACTGGCATGGAGTATTGTATAAAAATATCGCATCCATTTCTAATTATTTTGAGAATCATTGACGGGGATGAGAAGCCAGCAAAGCCGGAGCTTGTTGTAGCGATGAATGAAGCTAAAATAAAAATCAAATTAGATTTTGAGAAAAAACCAAATTTTTTTTAAAGAAGTTATGCATATTTTCGATAGCTAATGGGATAATCAAATGGAAGTCGAGTTGTATAAGGCTGCATTTCTTAATCCTTTCAAGTACTTTATTCTTAGGGGGTGCATTCAATCTAAACTCTGTAGTATTTTGTTGGACTTTCAAAATCTAGAGTTTTTTAAAATTTGGAGTATTCAATTCAGACTTTTAAAATCTTGAGGTATTCAACAATCCTATTTTAATGGATTTTAATGGAAAATTGTGAAAATTATGTATGAGATAAAATCTCTCCTGATCAGCAGAGATTTTGATGGATTTTTAAAATAATAATAATAATAATAATAATAATTATTATTATTATTATTATTATTATTATTATTATTATTATTATTATTATTGTTGTTGTTGTTGTTGTTGTTGTTGTTGTGGTTGTTGTTGTAAATAATATGATAATATTTATTAATGTTATTATAATTTTTAATAAAAATAATAATTTAAAACTAAAATATATTAGCTATTATGAATTTTTTAAATATATTTTTTTATATTATAAATATAATTTTAAATATTATTATTATCATAACTATTACTGTCGTCTTTTCCTTTCAATTATCAAATATAATATATTGTCATTTCGGTGTAATTCTTCTTTTTCAATTATCGAATATCCTATATTATCATTCCGGTGTGAAATAGATATTTAAATATATATTTTTTGTTGAATCATTAATTTATATTTATTTATCTATTTTAATATTTTTTTCAAAAATTGTAAAAAAAATTTTTTATTTTATTTATATATGTATTTATTTTTTATCTAAAAAATTTATAAAAATAATCATAATAATTATAATAACTAATAAAGAAATATAAAAATAATTTGATATATTGAATGATAATATAATACTAAAATTATAAAGTTAAAATTAATAATCTACAATATAATAGTGTTACCGATGTTACAATATTTCTACATTATTAATAATTATATATTATTTATTAATATTAAATTTTATTATATTAATAATTATATATTATATTTATAAAATTTGTGTTGGATATAAATTTATATAATTAATATATATATATATATATCCATAAAAAAATTATTTTACAATCCTATAAATTTCATATAAATCCATAAAAAAATTAATCAAATCCGTACAAATCCATGTAAATCAATTACTAAAATCCATCAAACTCATAATAGACTCTATGAATTTTCTAAATCCACATAAATCAATAGACTTTTTAAAATAAAAAAATTATTAAAATTCCAATTGAATACACCCCTTAAAGTGAGTGATAATGCATATGCTCGTAGGACACTAGCTATGTTTAACGATGTTTTTGAAAAAAATGATCACAGATAGATGATTTGCAAACAAAGATATGTGATCAAGTTGATGATTATATAATATGCGGGGAAGTTTCATAAAATAGTTAACTATCAAGCGACAAAAGACAAAAAGTACTAGTAAGTGCTTAATTTTCATTACTTCTATTTTATTCTTTCTTATTTTTTTTCAACTTTCTTTAAAGTTTAATTTCCTTAATTGTTTTACATTTTCATTGATTGGTGTAATGCTTTTGGAGACCTTCATTTCGAGTTCCAATCATTTGTATTCCGCATAATTAGCTTTTTGTTGTTCGTCTTTCGGGTGTAAACACAATTGAAGCTTGTTCGAATTTGTAAGTACTTAATTACTTATATAAATATATTAAACATTAATGCTATTATAGTTACATACTAATATATTATCATTTATTTTTAGATCCATACATAAAAAAGAAAAAAATAGATTGGAGCATGAAAAATTAAACGATTTGTTCAATACAATCAGAAAATTGCGAAAATTGCGAATGTGAAGAAGGAAATAATTTTTCAATCATTTGGTTGAATGAATTTGAATGGGATAATGGGCGGTTTCTTAACACCAATGATTTAGTTCATTCGGGAGAAAATCTTATATGAAATAATGTCGATGGAACCATAGGTGCATCGGGCAATCTTAAACGCTGCAATACTCAAAGGAAATATCGGCGACACATTGGTTCATCAATACAGTTATACACTAGGCGTCTCACGAAAGCCTCAACGTCAACATTGATTGAGCGAGAACTATATGATAGAAAATATAATTTGGATAGTATTCTTAGTGGTAGTGATTGACTTGATATATTTGGTTATTGATATTTGAGATATAAAGTTGATAGTTTTGAAATTTATAGACAATATTTTGCTTTATTTGATTATTGCAATTATAATTTTTATGATATTATATTTCATATTATGATTTAGGGCACATGAAAGTTTAAAAATTAGTAGTAAATTGATAATGTATGATTTTTAAAATTTATAATATATATATATATATATATATATATATAAAACTTAACTAATGCTACCACAATTCACAAGACATTACATCTATCTTAAGAAAAATGCCTAATCCACAAAGTTGTACCAAAACAAAGAAAACTAATAAATGTAATACAAGGATTGGATATTCATGTTTGGGTCAATAGGGAGGCATTTATACTGTGCATCTCAAGTGCCATAGCTGCTTGAATTGATCTATCTACTACAAATGTATGGAAATAATAAAACCTCTGTAACCAGGAAAAACTGCAGGGGGAAGGCCTAGGATCTCAATTTTATTAATTTCCTGAAAACTTGTTCATTGTACAAACAGCCTTTTTACAAATTAGCTTTTTCAAGCTCATTCTGGAGCACAAATTGTTGAAAAGCTCCTGCAACTATTTATAGATATATATATATATATATGTACAGTCGGGTCATCAAGAATGGCTTACCAGCATGCTGCAGTTGCGATGACCCCCTCATCGACTACTCCCAACTTCTGCAGCACGTTGTCTCATCATTTCATTCACAGCAGCTCTTCGTCGAGAATCAGACTGCTGCTGGACCCTCCTCAGGTGCACCTTTAAGTCCCTGCATCAATTACAGGATATAATACATCAAAAATTTCCTTGACCCCCTTATTTCTTGCATAAAACTACAGCATGATTCACATATGCAAATGCAACGATGGGATTAGATACTCACTTCATTCAATGAATACTTTTGGTGGGTTTTTAATATGGGTGATTAGGTGGTTAAATCCATTTTTATCACATGTTTACTTCAATTATTAACATCATCGTTGTTATCTTTATGTAGGTGGTGTGATAAAATAATCCGTAAAATTAAATTAAATACACACCATAAAATGATAGATTAGATTACGAAAATGGAAGGAACGGTTATCTACAAGGAAATTTTGACTGTGGGGATAGGTATTTTAGCTGGTACCTGCACCGAGGGACGTGACAAGTAGACTCTTTGCACGCATGGGCATGCAGTTGGAGGAGGTGCCACATTTTCTTGCACAGGGGACAGCCCCCGGCAGCACGGATTTTACACCCCATGCCATGTCGGAATAGCCCCTTGACTTTCCGACAGTTGGGGTACTGGCAGTGCATAGACCGGCACTGAGCTGCATGTACCAGCAACTCAAGCATTTTTCTCAGCTGCATTTGATCAATAGAGAAATAATAATAATTAGTAGATTATTAGAATTCTACACTAAATAACATTAACCATCTCTAGCGAAAGAAATACCAACATGGCAATAAAAATGGCACATGTGCCAAGTGCTAACAGAAAGTGAGCAAATATATGCTTTGGGAAAAGTGAAGTGGTAAAAATAAAGAAATCACAGCATTACCTCTGCAACTCGTTGCTGCCTGGCCTCTGTGTTCTGTGCATCATGGTCCTTCGTCTGCTGGTTTGTTAACTTATGAGGATGGTCGGCCCCTCCATCCCTCTCATAGCAGGCATTGCAGACATCATAGTCCGGGCATGTCTCACAGCGCCAGCCTCGCCCAGACTCTATATCTAGATGGCATACAGCACATTGGGACACAAAGGCTGGGGCAGTTGGATTATGGAGATGGTACAGGACCATCATCGATGAATGCTTTGCCCGGCGGAGAGTGTCATACTGATAGTGGTTGATTTGACACAGGGTTAAGAATGCCTGCCTTGTGTCAAAGAACTCACTCTCCATTATTTCGTTGTCCCGTGTGTCTTCCGGGACTCCAGTGATTTCAACCTGCAGATTTGAAAGATTCTTACATCAGACTTAACCATATGTGACTAGAAAGTGAAAGCATTAAAAAAAAAAAAAAAAAAAATCCATATATTAGTTAAAATCTTTCTTAGCACTAAATATATGCAAGAAATTTACAAATGTATGTTGCATGGACTCACAGGATATAGAGTGTGTGCATCCTTTTGGTTGACAGGATGTCTCTCTCTGTCATCCCGTCTTCGCTCGGTATCATAGCATCTGAGAAGGGAAAGATAAGTGCATTAGTGATCTGGCACAACTGAGTGTCATCTGTACACAAATGGATCAACCTAAGGTTTATAATCATAAAATATCATGTGTCCACAAACGAGCAATCATAAGATTTTATTCATTCTGGAGTATGGAATGTTTGGCACGCCAAAACCTGGATTATTGTTCTGCCAACAAAATTATGCATAAACATAAAGCTTTAACACAGCATGATACAACAAGACATCAAAATAGGTTCCATTACAAGAAACAACTGATGAGAATCAATATGTTAATGGAAATCCTTCGTGCACGCTGACCGCCATGCTCATGCTAGCAATCAATTTTAACAATAAATAAAGCTCATTCCAAGTATGTTATAATAAGACAGAAGAAAATAGTTGAGCTACAGTCAGTTAATGACAGTGATGAATCCAAGGACCACACATTGATAACAGTATAATATAAATTGACTCTTTCTTGTTCCTCATTGCATCATCCTCACAGAATTCTCTCTCTCTCTCTCTCTCTATATATATATAGAGAGAGAGAGAGATAGAGAGAGAGAGAGACACCAGTAAACAAACACATAAAACTTATCGAAATAATTGTGCACAAGATTAATGGATCCTGCATTCAGTCACCCGAGAGCAGAGTTTGTGCCAGTCTCTAGATGACCACGTTAGCAGCAAATTAATTGTAAACAACAAAAAGATTCAATCAAAATCATGTGTCATTACAAGCATCTCTTGCATTATTTCATTCTAAATCAATTAACTAATGATGGTGTCGAAGCTGAGGTAACTAAAAATATTTTCATGTATCATCTCCCCATACTTTAATCCTTTAAGTAATCCATGATTAATATCTAAAACAAGATTAGAAGGTTCTTTTTCACAAAAATTCCTAGTCTTACTACAAAGTCATCTATCTAATAAGCAAGAAAGCTCTTTTGTAGAATAGTCTGGAAAGATCATTGATTAATTAAACTAATTACTCCATGATTAATGTCTCTAACAAGATTTAGAAGGTCCTTTCCACAAAGTTATTTACGCATAGATTCCTAGTCTGACAAAGTGCTATACAAAGTCACATTGTGTACAGATATTTTAAATAAATATTTTGATTAATATTATTTAGATTTTGTAGTCATTATTTAAGTAGATCTACTAGATTAGATTTTCATTATTTTAGTTTATTCTTTGTTGTTCATGCCTATAAAAAACCCTTAATTTCATTATTAAATAACACAGAAATTCTCCTGAAATGTAATGTATCATAGCCACATTTTCTCTATATACATCCCTAACTTGAAATGGAGGACTGCCTCTCGAATATGAGATCCATTACCATACCAAAATTATATAACCCATTCTAATCGTGTCTATTTGTTACTTTCCCAACACATCGGACCTATACCACCAACGGCAACATATTACTAACTATGAGTCAACATTGGCCATCAAATATTATCGTCAGAAGCAGAGAGTGTGAGCTACCGCACTGGTCAACATTTGGTCATCGGTATGGAACATTTTTTTTGCCACTGACTCCAGCCGCGCATGAAGGTGCGCCCAGTGTCTGATTCATAAAATTTTTTAGCGATATCATATTGGAATATTTACAACCTATCTGTCAAATTCTTTCTAATTTTGAAAGTTTTTGTGTTTGGTTTTCAATCATCTGTCTGGAATTTATGCTTATTAGAATTTAATTTCTTAGAGTGTAGTGCCTCCGTGGCGCCAAACCCCAAATTTGATGTTTTCACAACAACCGAGGATTGGGGCCATTAAAAATCTTAATTTGAAGACAGTGTGTGGAATATTTTTTTTATGTAAGATAGAAAAAATGATGTAGATAATATACAAATAATAAATGTATGTAATATATTAATTCTTCGGGAAAACGTGTGTTGTTTTCACAAAAAGAACACACCCTGTGTTTCTTTGGGTTTTGTTTGAGAAATTTTGGTTTGGATTTGGTATTAAAATAATATTTTGATGGGATATTCGGAAAAAATATAGTCCAAATAGTAAAATTTGAGAAACTTTCGTCAAAGAACACACCCTTAATTTCTTAGAGTTTAATGCCATCGTGCGACAGAAAATCGCCGGTGCCACTCCCGCGACAGAGGATTGCCGCACCAAAAACTTTAATATGGTCAAAATCCTAATTTTTAAGGTTTAGAGCAGCTAGCACAACAGAAAATCAATTAGAATGGTCCAAAATTGATGCCCATTATAAAGTCCGGCCCATATTCAACTCCAACTCCGGAACTCAAGCTTGCTTTTACAGATCCAACTTAAGTTTAAAGGGGGGTTGAGATATATTGTAGATAGATATTTTGATTAATATTATTTATATTTGGTAGTTATTATTTAGGTATATCTATTAGATTAAGTTGTTATTATTTGTGTTATCCATTTTGTATCATGCTTATAAAATAGGCCCTATTTTTATTACTATATAAATTAGAAACTCTCCAAAAATGTAACACATACAATAAGCAAGAAACTCCTCCTAGATTAGTCTGAAGAAGATCATTAATTAATTAAACTAATTATTCCATGATTAATGTCTACAACAAGATTAGAAAGTCCTATTCGCACAGTTATTTAACATTAATTCCTACCCTGACCAATTACTATTACAAAGGTAATGTAATAAGCAAGAAATCTCCCTTGTAGAATAGTAAGATCATTAATTAAACTAGAGGAATTTTACAAATTGCTAGATCTTGCAGTTCCCCCCAGTGGTAAATGTTTCATTGACTATTCAAACTGTAAATACATATAAAGCAATAGTTTATGTTTTAAAATGGTTGAAATTCACTTTTTGCAATCTTTGCAATCATTTCAATCCAAAAGATAAAATTGTTAAGTTTCAAGATGTTTAATTATATGATATTGTCCTCCAAACCACCTCCTTGGAGAGACCATTTGAAGACAAATCATTCCTCACTATAAAAAAGCATAGAACCTACAGAGGAGTTCCTTCCAATTTAATAATACTCTCATCCTAGGACATTTATAATTATTCCTTAATGAGTAACATAAAGCACCCATAATAGATACTAGAAATAGAAAACCAGTGCAAAAAAAAAAAGCACACAAGTTAAATTATAATGATGCAAAATATGCAAAATCCTTACTTGTCACAGAGCTGAAAATTTTTGCACTGTCTGCACACCCAACGATTTCCAGATACCATAAGAATGCAACAGTGTGTGCATGCATGCTGTAGATGAACCATAATAAAGTCTTCCTTCATTGGAGATATTGTCTCGCCAAGCTGTGGAAGCAAAGAAGCTTTCTCAGTCCCAATAAATGAAGTAGCAGACAAACTTATAAAATTTACATTTGATGGAGAAAAGCAAAATGATCAGAGAAAAGATGAGATTGAACAAAGAGAATATTCAATATAACTAGTATTGTTATAGATTAATAACTTAATTGCAGTCTAATAGCATCATGTTTAGACAATAAATTTTCAGAGAAAGCAGAATAAATGTGCAGAAAATAAGATATGTCAGGAAAGGCCAAAGATCAACTTCACATTGGCAAACAAATCACCAAAGGAACTATTTTCAGGTCATACTTCTTTTTTCCTAACAAATTAAAATCAACAAAAAGGGACTTCTTCTTAAATAGTGGTTTGATACAATGTTTTGTTAGAGAAAATAGTATTGTATTTTTATTGGAGAACCTAGGGAATGAATGATAAAAATATAGGGGGAAAAAAAGGAGAAGAAGAAGAAGTTGCAAAAGTAAAAACCTAAGTAGTCCAAATATTATATGGTACTTGTACTCTGCATTTGTATAGTGAACTATTGATGTGAGACTTAAATAACTTCCCACGTTATTGGCTATCCAAGATAAGGTTACCAATCTGGAATATTATTATAATGGCACAAGACCACAAGCCATAAGAACTCTTGCTTCCTCGTATCTGGTGGAGTTAGCTTAACAGTCAAGATCATAAATTTATTAAAAAACTACACTCTTAATGTTCATTCATCCTAGCGCAATAGTTTCCTCTTAAATTAAATCCACTCTTCCTTCCATTTTTCCATTTATTTCTCTCTCTCTCACACACACACACACAAACATATTCCATGCTTCAATATTTTTTTAGGACAATTCTCTCATATTTTTTTCTATATATATATATATATTCATGACTATATTTGAAATTCTCTAGATAGCTAATTAATTTCGATATATTTCACATGATTACCTGAAATGTGAAAAACTTAATAAAGGCATTTGCAATTGTGCATTTAAGGCACTTCAGGCACAAGCGTACCATGGAACACCGCATTTATTAAGATCATAACTACAACATATGTTACTTAGATACTACATCTTTTTGTAAGTTGTTGATATGAAATTAAAATATCTTCATACTTCACTAGCCATGTCATTAAGAGTAAAGTTCTTGTCAGCTGTATCCATTAGTAACACAACAAACCATTACCCAACTAATTGCACATGTTGTACGGGACATGATCCCAATTAATTCCACATAAGAGTATCATAGGTGACCCCAACAAACTAATTGCATTAGTTACCATTACACAACTAGTGACAATTGTTTAGTGTCAATAGTAACACTAGCATAGCATCATTCGTCAGGTACAAGTTAAGTACAGAAAAGTCAATCAAAAGCTGATAGGTTAGCACAATCACCTTTACCAAATAGGAATATAATCTAACACACCATCAACCAACACGAGAGTCGGGATTGCGATACATGAAATATTGCTATGATTCTAGTTGCAAAGTACAAGACTTGGATTCCCCATTGGTATTATAGTAATACTAATGGGTGATTACATATAGCATTAAGCTCGCCCACTTCCTAAGCTAGTTTTTGGCAAGATTTATTTCGAGGTAGTATCAATGCAACATTAATTACTATAATGAATGCACGTTGATGTTACCATGGATTGATTTAGGACAAACATAAATTTAGTATCCAAAAAGACACTTCTAGATTAGGAAATAACCTAGCATCAAGCCAATCAAAATGAGTTGAAACCCCAAAAATTTTGGTTGAAAACATTAGATCTCTCCGTTTCATAAAATGTTTTTCAAGACAAGGTTTGCTTAAGGTATTATGAACCATGATCGGACTATGCCTATGAGCAACTTTGTGGTGTAGACCGACATAGTAGAGTCGGTGCCAATTTTCGCACCATCAATCCATGTCCACGCCCACAAGACCAAACTCAGGCCCTTGTATTGTGGGCTTGTGTGTGCTCTAGTGTAGTTATATTGAGTCATTTCCTATTGGGCCTAAGTTATATCCTATTATCATGTCCGTTAAATAAGTCGGCCCAATGGCTAAATTAGAGGTCCCTAGGATTAGTCAATTTCAGTAATTCAATTTTCGCAAGTGGTGAGATCGCAATAAGCTTGGGATAGGGTGTTTCACATTGTAGCTATTGATTTCCAATTATGACTATACTTATGTTGTACAAATAAAACCTTGCATAAAGCCATCCAATTGGTAGGTGGTTCAAGATAAAAGCTCAAGGTCCAAGACACGAATCTCATGTTGAGATTATAGATATTAATATAGAGTTTATCAGCATTAACTCTCCCACTTAAATAACTATCTTTAAGGGTATGGTTTCAATAAGGTTGTCTCAACCACTATCGTACCAAGCCTAGTTGCAACTGTGTAGTGTTGGTATTGATATTGACAAAGAAGCATTTGATGAGGCTAGGTTAACCGTTCAAAAGTGAATTAATACGCCAAATTTGTTTCATCTTTTATATATAGCCTAGCATGAAGCCAAAAAAAACATGAAAGTTGGGGTGGTGAAATATGGTAGATGATGTTATTGCATTAGGATTGTAGATGTTAAAGGCAGGGATTATGTGGGCATTAAGCTCTCTCAACTCATTAGCTAGCTTTTAATTTGAGTTTCTTTCAAGATTATATATCCATGCACCATTGAGTATCATAATTAAATGCATGTTGCCATGGAATAGTTTACAAAACTATCTTGATGCCAAAACTACACTATAGCTTAAAGATATAAACTAGCACAAGACCACCAAACACGAGAAATATGGTAAATTGGTATGATTTTAGTTGCAAGGAAAACTTGGATCACACTTTAGTGTTATAGAATCTTAAATTATTAACGCAAAGTTCAAATACCATTTTGTTCCGATTCATTAGCTAGCTTTTAGTGTAAGGTTCTCCTAGGGTTGTATCAACCAACTATTACGACACCACAACTTGTTGCAATATGGTATTGTGTGGGTAATACACAAGCACAGTAGTATCTATTCAGGCTACATTAACTACAACAAATCAATTTTATAGTTGATAATTATGCCACATTTTTTCTTAGGGAGAGTTAGCGTTGCAAAATCTGGTAGATGTTACTATCCTGCTTGCAATATAGAAGACTTAATCTGCTTGTGGATTGTTACAATCCTATTGGCTATTGCAATATAAAAGAATTGTGTCTCATATTAAAATACTACTGGGGGAGGGGGGTGGGTGGAATTGATAGGATCCTAGTTGCAAGGAAAAAGACTAGGATCTCATATCAGAAGACCGTGGGATTTGTACAGCATGAAGGTCTCCCACTTCATTAACAAACTAATGAAATGGGATTCTTCAAAGGTTATCCATGCATGATTAGTTTAAAGAAAAAATAAAAATTAAGTAAAAAAATAAATAAAAATACATCGACAAATGTGATGCAACTTTTCAAGTTTTAGGGCACATATTTCAGTGACATTTGTTTTTATATAGAGTTAAAAAGTTCAGTGTTTTGGTAGGGGTAATTAATGAGATAGCAATATAAAATAACTTACAGTTAAACTGACAAAAAGAACATGAAATTCAACGTGCAATCCAAAGTTGTGGTATCATTCAAAAACCACCATAAGTTGTGTCATATTCTTCAAGTGTATACTAACAGGATAACAGACAAAGTGGTGAATATAGAAGGATCACAGGAAGCATTTATACGACGAGAAGTTACCAAAAGAAAAGAAAAGGAATTAGGTGGAGAAAATTACTTTATGCATTAACATCAGATCTTTTGATGCATTGCCAGTGAGATCAGTCTGGCCAGATGCCTTCAGAGCTCTCTTCATGATGCTTTTTTTTATAGCGCCCTTCTTATTTGGTTTTTTTCCATCATCTTCTTGCTGCAGTTGATAGATGATATCCTCTGCAGCACCAGGCCAGTAATCACCATCAAAGTATGGCAACCGAGCTGCTGTTACCTTAGCTTTAGATTCACCAGAACAGACAAAGAAATGTTCATAAAGATTAGTGAGATCAACGACGATATTTTCCTTTGCAGCTTTCCGCAACATGGCCAAGTACCTGAAACAGAAGTTAGAATTCAGGTTTAATAAATGTATATATGCATAAGAACTTTCAGCCACTCCATTATTTTATCAATCTCACAGGTTAGCCTATCATTAAACATACCACTCCCTAAGTTTATCAGATTTTGGGGTCTTCTGAATTTCAGGATGGCAATACAGAATATAATCTTCACCCTTCAGTGGAGGGCAAGCCCAAATATAGCAGCTAGTGAAACCACGCTTCTTACAAGATTCCAAATATCCAATCTGAAAAAAATAAATAAAGATAAATATATATATACATATAAGGATATTTGAACTACCTAATAATGGCATAATCCTCTACCCATAGGAATTGATTACAAGAATAACTACTTAATTCATAATAGAACTTGCCAAAATTTCATGGTACACGAATGTCCGTAGAGCCTCTCCAGTCACTGCTTTAACCTCTGGCCTGAAATACTTAACAGAGTCCAGGTAAGAGAGGTAGACTCTGCGATGATTAGGCTGCTCACATTCGGATCCAAATTCTTGCACATACATGCCAAACAAGCACACTTCAACACCTTCAATTCTTTGAAATAACAGGATCACCTGAAAGAGGGTAATTGTATTGGAATGACATATTGATGGAACAACTAACTCAAAAAATATTTCTAAAGCAGCCTTTGCCCTTTGGAAGTTTGATGAACAGACTACAGAGAAGCAATTAGATTATTGCCTAGAATTCACCACAATCTTATGGTTACATCTTTAAATATTTGGGCATTTGATATTGCACAAACTGCCTATAGGCAAGATAAGTTAACAGAAAGCATTTACATCTTCAACAATTACTAAAAAATACAATGTGCAATGACCACTTGCCTTAAGAGTGGTAGAACCAGGTTTCTCATCAAATTATTAAGCACTGCTTAAATTAACCAACTATTTAAAGAAGAAATAATAATTCGATTTAAATATAAAGTCATACCTTAGACTTATATGGGTACTCCAAAGGATAATTTTGCTCCCGGAAAATTTCAAGGAATCGAGGTTTAACTTCCAATTTTTTGTCAACCGATGACACCACTCTAACAACAAGTGCATCTGCACCTGGAACCTGGAATTATTTATGATGGTCACACAAACAAAGATTAGATAAAAGTCATTAAGCATATGCACCTAGTGATACTGATGATTTACTAAGATACTTGAAAGAAAACAACAAACATCACATGAAAAGTCGCCAGACTCAATGCAAATACATCTACAAAAACAAATTGTTTCAAAAAAAATATAAGCTACAAGTGCATTGTTGTTAATAACCTCAATATCTAATAATTAAGTTGTAATGCCTGTTATCACAAGGGCTGGGGACACCCAGTTTATTAATGCATAATACCAATGATCTTCATAATTAAACAATAGCTACAACAAAAACAAACCCCGATGTGGAGTTTGTTTATATTAGAAGAAGGGACATATTTGTTATAAAGAAGTTGATAATTGGATGCCCTTCAACTTGCAAAGATGGACAAGTTGATCAGTCCTTTAATGTCACTTAGATATGCTTCTTCAGCATCTCTAGAAAGATGTATAATTGTGTAAAGTGTAACAAATTCCTTGTGACTTGCAGTGCAAAACATCATAAAAAATCTAGTAAACGCTGAAAGAACAATTCATCTTTACTAATTACCTCATCGTAAGTTTTTCCTAGATGTCTTGCTCTTTCCTTCCTTTCTTGTTTCAGCTTAGTAAACAGGCGTTGCTCCAAGTGATCGCTCAAACTTGTTCTAGGCAAATCTTTTGCTCCAAGAACAGCACTTCGTGGTAAAGGCACACGAAGACCATTATCAATTTCTTTCATATAACAATTTGGACAAGTGTACTCAGCTTGTCCACCGTCATTCCTTCTACCATTAAACAGTGCGCATATTTGATGTTGCCAAGCTTCACATTCGTCACATTGGACCCACTGCAAGAAAACAAAAGTTAACATCGAAGAGTACTATTGCTCATTTTATAGAAGCATATAAACATACCCATTCTTCAGTTTCCTCATCATTTTTCTTCTTATCCACCCTTGCCTTGGGAATTGGTGTTCCATCTACTACAATCGAGTCTCCTCGAGCTTCATTATAACAGGGAATGCAGAAGAAACGACTAGTTTCACCAGCTCCAAAGGTGTAATACATTGCATTTCTTTTAATGCGGGCACCACAAGGTGTGCAGTATAGAGGAGGGGGTTCAAAGGTGAGCCTCTCAACTCCACACAACTGGCAAGAATTTTCACTCATCGAATGCCCCATCGCCTGGTTTCTTTCAACCTTTGCTTTGCTCTGTGGATCAAAAAAAGGACAGATAACAATACAGTAAGTGAAAACAAAGATATATTTGGAAAGTATGTATTAGGTATCGCATATCTTGAGAGCATGTTATGGAATAAATAACTGAGGTCAAGCAAATATATGTCACGTAATCAATCCTTTTCCACCTTCAAAAACAATAGGGAGAAAGAAAACAAAAAACCAGGAAAACAAGAGCTTAACTGTGAAAATATCGATCACCAGTGGTAAGAATCGAAAGAGTTTCAGAGTGACTGCTCAACCAATCGTCACCCCATATAACTAAATCATGAAGAACTCAATGAGTCCAAGTTCTTTTTTACTAACCATATGTCCGTTTCATAAATACTTTGTGATGATGGTTGCAAATGCTAACAGATAAAAAAGTTACGTAGTAATGGTAATTTATTGTAAATACATGCATGTACAAGGGTTGCAGCCGTTATATCCAACAAAGTAATATGGCATCATTGATTAAGTATGATCGATGTGATTCAGAACCAGACTAACCTGTCCCACCCACTGTCGGAGACCCATAATGTGCTGGCGGACCTCTTCAGGTGTAAACAATTCTATCATTGATACTCCCTTTATTTTTGGCTTTGCAGTCTTCCCTGCATTCTCAGTAGGTATTGAAGTGCTTTCTGGCTTAATCTGCTCGATATTCTGCTCTCTCTTTATAACCTCTGCTCCAGAAAATGTAGTAAGGTTGTCTGGTGAAACATACTCACCTTTAGGAGTTTGCACACAGGTATCATCCAAGTCATCCTTTTTCATTTCAATACTTTTGGGACTTCTCTGTTCAGCATTTCCAAGAACATCCACCTTTATCGGAATGTGCACCTCCTGATTCTGTCTGTTATGCTGTTCATCCATTAAATGGCAAGCAGTAACAGAAGAGGCAAATGCAACTGGACGTTCAATTTCAGCAACAAGAGGTTGACAGCCTTGTTCAGTTTTTAGGCGTTTCATAGGAGATTGCAGGTCTTCTGGAGTTTCAGTGATATCTGGACCCACATTTGGAGTGACTCTTTCCTGACCCATCTTTGAAGCTGAGTTCCCCACAATGTCAGTAGCAACATGGGAGACAGAAGGTCCGTTGTTTGAACAAGGTACTCCAGAATTCAAATGAGGAAGTGCACGTGCCCTTTGTGACTTAATAAAATTCTTAACAGGAACACAAACGGGACAGTTTTGATCCTGACAACGCAGGTAATGATCATACAATCGCTTTGAACCATCGCAGCGAGGGTATTTGCATTGACTAACATTGCAACTTTCCATATGCTTCCACAACTTCTGAGCAGACAGACAGTTAGGTTCAAGGCATTTCCCTTCTGGGTATGGGCACCTCTGAGCATGCTTCAAAAATAATATCCATCTCGTTTGGTTTTTGTGCTGTTGTTCCCGGTCAAGGTTATTACATCGATAAATGATGTCACTTGAATTCAAAGGTTCTGCTAATCTAGAGCCAGGTACTGAAACATTTGGAGACACGTTGGTCGGTTGAGTAACATCTTCTCCAGTTAATCCCTGATGAAAACCATCTTGTATGAAAGGTGTATCTTGAGACTTCATATATGATTGACCATGCAATACAGCATCATGCTGGATACCACCAAAAACAGATCCAAAATCACCACGAGGTTTAGAAACTTGTTGGTTATGAAACTGTTGCATCTGCTCCATACGTTGAGCTGAAGACGGATGAACATTCTGTGGGCCAGATGAATGTGACAAAAGCTGAGCAGCACTAAAGGGTTCTTGGATAGAGCTCAGCTGATACTGATTTTGCTGATCAGAAACCTGCAAGAAGTTGGAGGCTTGGGACTGTGGAACATTGGTATGCTCTGTTCCAAAGTCAGACTTCACTTCAGAAACTATATTAGATGAAAGCAGAGGTCGGTTGAAAGAATCACTTTTCAGCAAATGCTGGTTTTGCTGTTTATTTTCTTGTCCAGTTGAATGCTGAGCAATTCGGTGCTGAAACTCGTTAGATGGGTGTTGAAATTGCTGCTGATAGTGAGGTTGTCCAAGATTTCCCTTCAGTGGATACTGTGATAGATGATTCACATTGTCTGGCTGGTCAACTGACTGAGGCTTCAGATTGGCCATTGGCTGAGAAGTGTAGGCATTCAGCTGATTATTAGTCATCAAAGGCATGCTTATTTTCTGAAGGGATTGAGTGCCTGTGGGATTCAAGCTCTGGTTGTTCATCAGTGATGGACCAGAAGTCACAGGTGCATACAAGTTTCTAGACCCTGATCCATCAGCTGCACCAATTCCATATCCATCACCTGTCAAGCAGAGGAGTTGCAGTTAGCGTACACGTTAAGATTCTCCTTTAATCAAAATTCAAATAATTTCACACTACCCATTTGAAAGTAAAGGAATGACACTACATCCAATTATTCCTGCCACAGAACACATGCAACAGAGAGAGAGTCGCCAGCAGTGAAATGAAAATACAGTACCCTGGTTCACTGGTTGCTGAAGTTGGTCAAAATGAGATTGCAATGGCTTGGTGGAGGTCCCATAAAGAATCCCTGCTAAATGACCCTCATTAGCTCCAGAGCTGATCATCACAGGCATGTTTTTCCCCATCATCCCCAATCCTCCACTTACAGGTCCATTTGACAATCCATATGACTTCTGCTGCAATGTAGATCTAAGACCATCTCCCATATACCCACCAATATTGTGTAAGATACGACTATTTTGGCCACCAACACGTTGCTTATGTACCACAGACTGTGATGCACCAGCAACAGCAGACTCAGTAGCAGCTGGGTATGCACCAGTACTATTTGATGACTCCATGTTCATGAGTGAGTAGGTATTTGCATTATTATTCATGTCACTGCTACTAGAATTATTAATTCCAGGAGTGGGGATCATCTGACTTGGCATTCTTGAGCCTACAGATGTAACCATGTCATTTCCTCTGGTCTCAACTGAGAAAACAGCTGGTGATTGTTGAAATCCACTACCCATAGCTCCTGAAAATATATATATATATATATATCGATATGTTAATACCTGTTTCACAGATCACAAGACTATTAAGTATGATAAGATGAAGTGAACCAATCACCATGAAGATTCCCAGATGAACCAATTCGAGTTGGCAAAAAGCTTCCAGAATTCACAGTGGATGATGCAATTGTGTTGGAGCTATTGAATGACACCGCAGAAGTAGCAACAGATGAATTACCCATCAAACTCGAATTTGCAGTTTGCTGAAACCCAGGTGTGGGAATCATCGCACCAACTGAAGGGGCAGAATTACCATGTGCAGGCTGCTGGTTTTGCTGACTCATAGGAAGGTGCCTAATCAGAACTTGCAATCGGTTTTCGAAGGTATCCATGTTCAGATACTCATCCTGACACAAGAAATAAATTTTTATGCTTTTATTTTTTGGGGGGAGGGGCAAGCAGAACATATTATTATAGAAGTAGACAGAGAAGTATATCAAAATAAAGGGGAAACGCTTCATGGAATACATGGAAATTTGCATTCTAAAGCCAAGCAAAAAGAAAAAGGAATTCTAGACAGAGACAGGAAAAGAGACTTTTCATAATAATAATAACACACCCTTGACATGGCGCTCTTCAACAAAGTCTCTTCCAAACGTTTCACTATGTCAAGAATCCTCTTAGAAGGTAAGTTCTGTGCTTGGGGATGCCGCTGCAAAAGAAATTCCCATCTGCAGAAAAGAAATCTAACATCAGCAGCATGCATAACCAATGCAGTAACACAGTAACAGCTTTTACACAGTAATCCTTGAAACATATTACAATGGGATAATATGAAGAAGTTTAACAGAATATTCCAGAAATTGTGATAATTCATGGAACAAAACAGAACATCAGAATTAATTAATTGAACATAAAGAACGGAATACATCATTACTGTCGAAGAATTTAAGTCAACATCATAAATTACCAATAACGCAGAACTGAGGGAAACAATGTTTTTCATTTTTCTATAGATCGGACCAGGTAAAAAACCAATTGTCTGAAAACAAAACTTCGAAGTCCCAAACTGCTAAATGACATACGATTTATTCACCCAACAAATTTTTTATGGCACGATTTATGATAAATATTATCAAAAAATATAACATATTCACACATTAATACAATATATACTATATACACTTTCCATTTACAAAAAATTAATAATTCAACACAAAATATTATTTTTATAGTACCAACATGATTAAGAAAAAAATACACTCATCTAAAATCACAAAGCGAGCACACCCATAGTCAACAATCGAAAAATTGAAAAAGATAGTATAAGTGAGGCTTGATGTCTCTTTACATTTAGTTGATTGTTCTTTCAATATTACATAGAGAAAAGGTACAGTCATGCTCTATGTAAGAGTAATCAAATAAGAAAAAACCTTACATCTTTTCTTGCACAAATTTGCGTGCTTTGATAAATTCTTGGTCCACAACCGGGAGATTACGCAATATACCATGTTGTGGCACCGAATTTGTATTTTGCTGTGGTAACAACGAAGAGCCAGATTGATTGGGTAGCTGTCCAGACATTTGGGCTGATGGGTGGGTTCGGAAATTCATGTTTCTGGATGAATGTTTAATTTATAATATGATTTGAATTCCAAGAAAGCACAATGCATTCATTAACTAGTTTAACAAATTCTTCCCAATGTGGTCAAGCTCCGTGCACAAGGGGCATCAAAACTTGGCAATGGTACCTGTAAATGGAAATTCCAAGATAACAGAAAAGGCATCAATTGAGTTAAATGTCCATAAATATACATATATTTATATATACATATATATATGTGTGTGTGTGTGTGTGTATGTGTGTATACATGCCTCAACACAATCTCCTTCAACAAGTGAGAAAGAAAAGAAACATTAAAATTAAGGAAGAGCCGCGTGTAGTAGAAAATTCAAAGCATATATACACAGATGACTGCACATTATTTCCAAAACACAAAAATAAATAAAGAAGAAACTGATTAATGTGCCTTCAAAATATTTTACAAGCTCAAATATCAAAACTCAAAAGAATAATTCCTAACACAACAATTTCAAGTTCTGTGCATAGCAAACTCCCATATAAGCAACATTCAAATACAAAAAGAGGAGTCAGCATTAGTCTTTCTCTTAATACACAGCTATCAAATGTTTATCAGCACAAGGAGTGAGTTTGGTCTTCCTGATTAATGAACAGAAACATTCAATGTGAACATATTATACAATTTTTTACATAAATGGAAAACTAGTTTGCCCAGATCTAAAACACAGAAATTATTAAATGCAAAGATCAACAGGCAATCAAAAAACCCAAAAAAAAAAAAATGTTTCATTTCATTGACTAGCACAAGCTGCTCATTCATCTGTCAGCACACCAAGCAACATTTTGAGAAAAAAGCTCTCTGAGAAGAAACCTACGACTAAAACGCAAGTCATTATACCCAACAAGAACAATTCCAACTTAAGCTGAAACAAATATTTAAAAAGAATGAGTTTCCAACATTTATGATCACACGCCTAGACACAAATCAAGAACTGCAAATTCCGCACACGTACACACACATGGGCATTCACAAAAATCTACTTCACACGTCAATTAAAGTCCAACTTAGGTCAAAATAAACCCAATTGAAAAAAGCTAGGGCTTAATCAAATTGGGGGAAACCAAATTAGGGCATCATTAATCGCATAACCAAAGTCGGAATTTCAATTGGGACAAAACACGATCAAAATCAACAACCCGAACAAGCATACAACAAACTAATCCCGAGGTCGGCAAAAAATTGAGCAAAAACAAATAATCAATAGCGCGCATAATAATGGGTAGCCATGGGAAGTGACCCCCACCCGAAACAAGAGAAAATCGAATCAAACGCTGACGGACGAACAGCCCGGCCACGCCGGAGCGGAGCATCGGCAGGAACACGGCGGTGATTCAGAGAACAGAAGGACTGGTTTAGAAATTGGTTTTTTTTTTCCTTAATATTATTCAGGGAATTTAATTTCGTTTGCTTTTCTTTTACTGCAGTAATCAAATTACACGTATATATCAAACTCTACATTTTATTATGTAGCCCCTCTAAAAGAAATATTCTCAAACTGACCCCCAAAAGTCCTCTTAATAACGTTTATTTTTTAAAAATTCAAACAATGAATTACTTTCTATTTTTTTTTAAATTAAACATTAGTAATGTATATGTATTTTTCAAAAAGTAACTACCAAAAAACAAAAATCATGCGACTTTTGGAAAAAATTGTAATAAATTACTAAATATATCATGATAATATATTTTGTTACTATTTTAATGCTAAGGGTATGTTTCTTTTCAAATTATTTATTTATATTATTTATTATTTTTTAATAAATCATATATTTATATATATATTTCTTTTGTCCCATTTATAATATATTTTTTTTATTTTAATTGAGACAGTTTTTATTTTTAATAAATTTTATCGATTATAAATATATTTAATATACTTCATGAGATTCATTCAAAATTTATATATTTATATTATATATTTTATTAAGATATAATAATATTTAAAATATTTAAAAACATATTATAAATTTATTTTAATTATATATTAATTTTTATTTTAAAACTAGTAACAATACTATTCATACTTAAAAATAATAAAATAATATAATAATTCACTATTATTAATAATTAATTAAATTTTATGATCTTATATAATATTAAATTTACGCGAGTTTATTTGGACTCACAAATTAAAAAATAATAACAATTTGATATGTGAATGAATAAAAGGTTTGTTTGCCCAAGAATAATTTTTTGATACGATTTTTAATATACTACCTCCGTCTGTCAGGTTATATTTATTTTTTGAATTATTATACTTAATATAAAATAACTTTATGTTTGCATAAATTTTTTTACAAATGTCATTATAAGACATTAATAAATTATCTTTGTTATTTTTCTTTTAACTTAGTACTATATTTTGATATAATAATTAATATTCAAAAATCAACACGAACAAAAATAAATGCGACCCTTGGAGATCCTCTTACAAAAAGTCACCATTATATTTCATATGTCAACTTAATAAGTTTACATCTACCTTTTGCGGCATTATATTTAACATTAAAAATATTATTATATTATTGTATTTGTATTATAAAATACTAATAGAAGTATTTTTGTCTTTTTTTTTTATTTGTACTATATTTTGATATAATAATTAAAATTCAAATATTTATACACAAAAAGTAAATGCCAACTTTCAAAATGGGCGGAGGTAGTATTATTTTTTATATTAACGATGTGATTTCTATACCTCACATAAAAAAATAAAATAAAAAATAAAAATTCTTTACATAAAAAAAGAAAAAAAAAATCAAATCAAAATACTAAACAAACAAACCCAAAGTTGTTTACTATAAACTAATGGCTTTTGTCGAAAAATGCATAAGTTTAGGGATAGAATATTTTTTTTTATTTACATATAAAATTTTATTCTCATATATTTTAAAAATATTTAGACTCATATTTTAAATTTTTTAATAATATATATTGTTTCTGTTCCAAAAGAGTTGTTTGTTTTTCAATTTTCCTCTGTCCCAAAATAATTGTCCTATTTTATTATATAGTAACTATGATCTTACTATACAACAAAATTATTTCTACTTTTCCACAATATTTACATAAATATCACTACACTTAAAAATTTAAAATGACACGAATTAATTAAATTACCCACCCACCCTTATTAATATCTTACCCATCCATTTAATTACCACCCATCCACCCCCAAACTCACCCACCCTCATAACTCTAATTACCACACATCTACTCCTAGACCCACCCACACTTGTAACTCTAATTTTAATATTCTCTCTCTCACTGCCGCTTTTTTTTTTTTCGTTCTTCAAGCTCTTCTTCTAGATTTTCTTCTTTGTAAAATTCTCGTTGTCGCTGCTATTTTCATAGGTGAATTGACTAGAAAAATTTGAAAATGGCTTCTTATTTTCAAGGTAGTTGGATAAGCTGTCGGATTTGACATTTTTGTGTCCTTCACCGTTGATCAAATTTTTTCGATTTCAACTTTGGTGACGTTGTTGACAACAAAGTTGCCGCTGATTCGGAGTCTGACGGTGATTAGCGGTTGGGTGTGGGGATGAAGGAACAAAAATATCTCTTTCGTAAACTTCAAAAGCTCTACGTCACTCGCATATGTTGTTGATATTTTTTCCAATCATTTGTCTGCTCGCTATGAAGTTAGAGAAGTACAAAAAAAGTAAGATTCTTAATTTATTGTTGTTTTAGAAATTGGTTTATCATTAGTTTTTAAATCTACATTATTTGAATATTATTCATATTAAGATGTTTATTTATTGATCAAATTTTCTTTTGGTTGGAGGAATTATTGGAAAGAAGCTGAAAAGATAGGACTTCTGGACTTGTTCAAGGCACTACTTGTTCTACGGTTACGATTCGGAGGTGAAATAGCTTGAATTGATACTTATATGTGCTCCAATGTTCTTATATGTGATGTTACGTGAAACTTATATGTTTGGTTGTTGGGAGTTTGAATATATGAGATATTATGATGCAAAATATGCTACTAATTGGGTAAATAAAGCTTTCCTATAATCTACTAGGTTTTGGAAATAATTACACAATTTTTCGTCACCCCTTGTAGATGCGTGAATGTTCTTATCTATCCAGTTATCCCTATGTCTTGTTAGTCATATCTAAGAGTGATTTGATCATACTCTGTGATGATTAATTATAGGTTAGCTCCTCTTTTTATCACTTTATAATGAATGTATTATATGAGAGTGATCCCCACACCCTAAACTAACTGAACAATTGTTTTATAAGATCAAATTCTACTTGATGACTTTAAAGTCTGAAAGTTGTTTATAAGTATAAATGTTCTTGTCTATTGGGTTATCCCTATGTAAACCTTTAATGTGATAGCTATATAAATTATTGTCCATATATTACACTATGTCCAAAAAGGTTTACAAGTATTTAAAACCTATTGAAAATAGATTTTACATACTTGTAATCTCATAGTTATAAAATACTCCTACCTAGTGGTTTGATGTACATACAAAAACATCAATTTTTCGTACGAAAGATCCTAAGTTATACTCTCCACGAGTGTGATGAGCTACTCAATGCCCGTGGCTTCATTATTCTCGAAGAGTTGAATAAATGTGAACTTGACCAATTCTTGGTCCATCTCTAAATTGGTTGAGAGTAAACCTTTTCTTGCAAACGCTACTTTGACCATATGTGGTATCTTGTAGTTGTTGCCTCCTTGACACTTGAGAATCTCCGTTAGACATATTTGTAACATGATGAAAATATTGTTAAGTGTTGTGTCTGATACCTCTTCAAAAGAATTCGCAACAGCTTTAAGTAGTTTTTCCACATTGTAGCTTACTTTTGTTACTTATAAAGCCTGCAATGATTTAAACCACCATAGATCATTTATATTTTACCGAGCTATTAGGCAGTTAAAATATCAAATGAATATTAAATCCATCACTGTTTGCCACTTCTCGGAATTCCAGATCATTGTCCTCAATGTGAGGCTTCGCATTATCTTGTATGTAGATTGTCTTAGAAGCATCACTAGGTTATCTCTTCTTAATTACTGGAATCATCTACAAGTACAACTTAATGATGATTAATAAATATTGGGTTGTTGCTGAGAGTTGTGCATCATATAGCCAAAATAAATAAATAAATAGGGTGCTTACCTTAACTATCAATACTTGTTTGGTGACTTCTTTTGTAATTGAGTTCAATAGTTTAATCTTCATTGTTCCAACAACCCTATTCTTATAATTATGTTTTGTAGGTTTCTTTTTTGTGAATGGAAAATTTTCAATTGTTCCATCAAATACACATTCCTCATTGAAACCGTATAGGGTCTTGATACGGCACGAAGGAGTATTACCTGGGTAATTAACCTTTTGCTTTGACAAGTTCTATACGATTCAACATCATTGAATGCTAGATAGTATCTATCATTATCTTTAGATAAGTTAAATCATTTTTCATCAATGTGCACAGTGTTGGACATGCTTTTGTACCATATGATGTTAGATTCCAATACAACCTCCAATGCTTGGAGGCAAAATCGTAGTTGGTTTGCCTTATTCTTATAGATTAAGGTTGATTTGATTACATTCGTATGTGCTCTGAATAATTCATCTTTGTACCATCTCTTAATACTAATTTTTCTTATTTTTAACTATTTGGAAATGCTCCTATACGTAAATATTTTGCTACAATAGATTTCTTTCAAAGTGTTGTCATCGAATAAGGCTAATTTTGGCCTTCTTTGTCGATTTTTCGGTTTTTCAAAACTATTTTGTTACTTGCCTTATGTTGATCGGTTGTACTTTTCTAAATGTGCCTGATTGTTCTAGTTGAACATTCAAATTTTGTGGCGGCCTCATTAATTTTGTCACGATGGGGTTGCCCGTTAAATCAATTTTGCCACAAAAAATTACTATTTGGTTGAGATCTTCTACACTAAATTCTTTTTTGTCCATTTTTAAAATGAGAGAAATTGTACTATTTGTGTGTTACTTGATTACTTATGGAAAGTTATTACGGGAAACAATGATTCTACATTGGAGAGAAATAATTTATGGTTTTTTTTTGGAGAGAAATAATAATGATTGTGTCGCTTATCTAATTAGATTATTTTTTATGTTTGTATCCTAAAAAAAAATGATACAAAAATAAATGTTTTGATGAATTTTTGTGGAAGTTCGATGTTCCTATAAAATTGGAACATATTGCAGGATTTTGTTATAACCAACTTGGTACATTTGTTATGTTGTATGTGGTGTTGTGCATATCTACACAAAATGCTCCACCGCTGCTCCTCTTGCTGTCTGTCGTGACTGTTTCTGCATAAATGTACTTTTATTTTTGATTTTTTGTTAATAATAAAAAAAAAATTGTTTAGCTGATTTTAAAGGATTAGTTTTAATTTTTGTTAGTATTACA